GAAGTGAAGAAATTCTACTTATGTCTCAAAAATTCATTTTTATGAGATTTTTGCTTTGAATTTTCTCAATACTTCATATGAAAATGAATGCTCTGTTGAACACTTAGATATCTTATAAACTGCTACGGAAAACTGAAAAGAGAAGTTAGCAAAATGAGGCTGTGTTTGTGGTACTGGCACACGACGTTCGTAACTGGGACCAAGCCTCCCTTGAGAACTAAGTGGACAAAATGAAAATTCCTCTAAAAATATCAGAGAGCCAACAAGATCATGAAAAATCATGGGATCAAAATACAAGAAAGGGGTAAGGCTCAGTGATAGAGTGATTGCCTAGCTCACGTAAGACCCTGGGGGTTCAAACCCCAGCACTGCAAAAGAAAAGAGGGAGGAAGACAGGAAGGGAAGGAGGGAGGGGAAAGAAAGGAAAAATATGGGACAAGGAAACCCCAAATTTCGAATAAGAAATCACTTTTATCTAGCTATAGACTGCCAATTAAGGGGTGGTTAAGAAGATAAGAAATAGAAATGAACTCCAAGTATAGGAGGGGCCAACGATGTAGCTCAGTGGCATAAGTGCCTGCTGGCAAGTGCAAGGTCCTGAGTTCAATTCCTGGTACCAGAAAAAAAAAAAGTATAGGAGGAAAATAAGAGTTCAGTGTCTGCCAATGATGGGAAATCTAGTAAGTGCCCTATGTTTTGAAGCATTTGGGATCTGGAAGAGCTACACCCGAGGAGGAAGGGTGAATCAGAAACTGTCTTGGTTACCCCTCTCTCCTTGCTGAGACAAAACACTCAATGCCCAAAATTAAGGAAGGAAAGGTTTATTTAGCTTACAGTTTGCGGAGGTTTCAGTCTATAATCAGCTGGCTCCAAGGAGGGTGGCAGGGCACAGGGGCAACACTTCAAGGCAGCAGAAGACAGTAAAAGCAGCAAGAGCAAAAAGCAGGGGGAAGCAAGCCTTGTTTCTGTCCTTATACTCTATGCCGGCTATCCGCCCATGCCCATACCGTCTCCACGCCCTCCTCTTGCACAGGTTCACAATGTAGAAAAGCTGAGTCACTTAGCCAAGCCTCTAGACTCCTCCAGTTGACACAATGTATCAACCATAACATAATAACAAATATACTAGACTTCAGGGAGATTAAAAGTCCAGCTTTAAATGACCTACATCATTCACTGATTTGAGATGATCTGGGATTGCCAGGACACCGAGCTACCTACAAGAAGAAAATGTGCGAGGAGATAATACTGTCTTAGATCTAAGTGTTTTGTAAGTTTTCATCTCAATGTCTACTATTCTACTTTAACCAAGCATATGAGGACACAAAATAATGTTTTAAAAAAGCAAAGACAGAGCAGGGTAAGGTGGCGCTCGCCTGTAATCCCAGCACTCAGAAGACTGAGGCAGGAGGATCATTGCGAGTTCGAGGCCACCCTGGGCTACAAAGTGAGTTCAAGACCAGCCTGAACTGCATAGTGAGACCCTGTTCAAAAAGACAAAAAAAAAAAAAAAAAAAAAAAAGACAAGACAGGGATGGGGATGTGGCCCCGTGGTAGAGCACTTACCTAGCATACGTGAGGCACTGGGTTTGATATAAACACAGACACACCAAAAAAATAGGCCACAATAGAGCCATATAATAAAGTTTTAGACACATAATTTAAAACAATTATTCTCAATACTTTATATTCAGTGAGTTAAAAAACAGATTAAATGATTAGTGGGGAACTTGAAATTAAAGAGCCAAAGATATTCTATATTTGAAAAACATAATAAACTGAAATTCAGATTATCAAATATATTGATTATTTTATAGACACCACTTTGTGTCTTGTTTTTCTGTATTTCAACGACTAAAAACTATTTACCTGTATTGTCCGGCAATAGTTTGTTTCTCTCTCTTTTTTTTTTTTGATACAGGATCTCACTATGTACTTCAGGCTGGCCTTAAACTCACTATGTAGCCCAGGCTGGCTTTGAACCTGCAGCGATCCTCCTGCCTCAGTCTCCTGAGTGCTGGAATTACAGGCGTGCACCACTGTACCAAGCACAGCAATAGTTTCTAAGTGTTAATTTACATTAAAAACCTTTAACCTATCTTCAGTTGATTTTCAGATAGGGTGTGAGGTAGAGAATCCAACTAAACTATTTTCCCCGAATTTTTCTCTTTCTCTTTTCTCCTTTCCTCTTGTCCTGACAAGCCGCTACTTTCACACACTAAACTCTCCTATTTCCTTACATTTGTTTCTAGGCGCTCAGTTCTACTCTACTGCTCCATCCGTCTCGCCTTGCCTCTGCTTTATAAATACCTGCACTGATACAGTCAGCTCCGTTTCACCACTCCTCTTCTATAAAGTGTCCTCCTGTTCCTGTTCTGAATTATATTCTCATATTAATTAAAAATTTTCGCTGGTATGTGGTTTGGATTGCAATAAATCTGTACCAATTAAAAGATAATGGCCTCTTTTCTGAACATGTCTCTCCATTCACATGAGAGTTTTCTATCATCTTATGATAAAATGAGGATGACATTCACCTCAGAAGAGAGTCACTGAGGAATTAAATTATCCAGCAGATGTCACAAAACTATACGAGGCAAATGATATAACTAAGAGAATATTACCTTGGGTGTATTCTGAGAACTGAAAAGGCTTCTGGAGAATTTGGGGTAAGAAAAACAACTTGAATATTTTTGGTAGACAAGTACAAATAAGGCATGTTAGTTCATACACATGTCTGTTTTTTCTTTTAACAAACTGTAATTAAACCACAATCATGTGCCTGACACTGGGCTAAATGGCAAAGATATACACAGAAGACAGTTCCCACCCCCCATACTTTCATGATTTAGTGAGGGAGAAACATGTAAATAGTCAGAGCAAACCATACTGAAAATATATTTAAACACTTTGGGAAAACAGAAGGAATACTCAGCTTTGTTTGGGAAGGGCATCCTTAAACTTGAAGTCTGACCGAGAAGAACATAAGCAGATCAATTCTATGCAAGGGAACTGTATGTATAAAACCACAGTGGCAAGAAAGAACACAGCTTCCTAACAATGCAGATAGTTTAGAAAGACAAAAGCAAACCACACACGCAGTGGTAGAGGAGGATGACAACTGGAACAGAACCAGGGTATGAAGCTCTGAATGCCATGCTTGAGAAGGTGAGCTCCGTTTCTCACAGTGTGGTTCAAGGTTCACCTGTATCAGAATCATCTAGGGGAAGAAATTTCAAACTGTTATTTAGTACCCAAAGATCATTAAATTAATTTAGTGGATTAAACAGTAAGTACTTTCTGGAAGGAATGAAAGAAGGAAGGAAAAGAGGAAGGAAAGAAGAAAAGGAGGGGCCGAGGGAGGAAAGAAGAAGGGGAAGGAAATATAAAATGCAGTGAAGAGTGAGCCATATGGTGAGGGCACTGTAGTAGATGTGATATGTATGCATGCATAGGCACTGAGTGGAGAAATAAAATCTATTTTTCACTGTGGTTCACAAAGAAATTTAGAAACACTTGTTTAAATGCACTTTTAAAAATGCAGATCCCTAAGCTCCATGCCAGACCTGGGAGTATGGCCTAGAATGTACATTTTAAATAAGTACTATGGGATTCTTATGCATGTACAAATTGAGAACTATTGCTAAAGTAGATTCTGAAATGGTCATACTGACTTTAAGAGAATTTTCATGGATGCTTGGGAGGCCAAGGATAAAGGCAGGGATGTAAGTCCACACGCTATCACTAACAGTCTAGGTTAAAAAAGCTGTTAAGCCTATACTCCTACAAGGGTCAATTAAAAGACCAGACAGGACTGGGCTCAGATGGCCAGGTTGGGTGAGCAAGCGTTTTTCTGGAATGGCTAAGGGTTCATAAAGAGACACAGCAGAAGAGAAGAGAGGAAAGATGCTAAAGGTCTATACAGATGATTTTGAAAGTGAGGACCTTTTAGTTTTTAAACTACGTAAGAAGCCACTGCAAGTTTCCGAACATAACATTTCGATTAAGAACTACTCTAGAGTTATGGGAAAAAGCGACTGTAACTCAAATTATGAGATGAGGGCTGGGGACACAGCTCAGTGGCACAGTGCCTGCCTGGCAAACACAAGGCCCTTAGTTAGGTTCCCAGTACAAAAAAAAAAAAAAGACAAAAAGCTATGAGATGGTGAGTTCCTAAACTAGGAAGACAGGGAAAGGTTAGAGGAAGAAATGCAGAAATGCTTGATACAACAAGTAGTGGGAGATGTTAGTTCAGTGGAAGAGTGCTTGCCTAGCATGTGCAAGGCCTTGGGTTAATTTCCCTCCAACAAGGAAAAAGAAAAATAACAGTAAAATATCGAGGTGACCACTGAAAACATGTGATGGACGAGCTGGCAGGACTGTTCCGCCCACAAACCTGCATTCATCTAGGCAGCACAGCACAGCTGTTATGATCATGAATCTTGGAGTCAGGCTGCCATATTCAAACCTTGCCTTTACCAGTGGGTGTGGTGGTGCACGCCTGTAATCTCAGCACTTGGGAAGCTGAGGCAGGAGGATCACCATGAGTTCAAGGCCAGCCTGAACTATATAGCAAGACCATGCCTCAGAAAAACCAAAAAACAAAATAAAACAAACCTTGCCTTTACCACTCATTAGCTATATGACCTTCAGCAAATTACGTAACGTTTTTATACCTCCATTTTCTTACTTATAAAGTGAACATATCAATAGTATCGGGGCTGGGGATTTAGCTCAGCGGCAAAAGCGCCTGCCTGGCAAGCGCAAGGTCGTGAGTTCGGTTCCCGGTACCGGAGAAAAACCAAAAACAACAACAACAACAACAACAACAACAACAAAAAAAAAAATCAATAGTATCTACCTCCTAGGTTGTTACAAGGGTTGAATGACATAAATATGTAAAACACTATCTACCAAAAATTAGTTTAAGTGCTATCTCTATGTATGGTATTAATTTCATCCCTGGTCCTAGACTACAAAAAAACAAAAAAACCCAAAGAAACTCTCCTGTTTCCCTTTTTAATGCCTTTACCACTAGCATCAAGAAACTATGTTTGAATTCCAGCTAGCACTTACATTTTCTGACTATCTTGGGATGGTATATGACCAAAGCTTTTGGTTTTCTCTTCCATGAGGCAGTGTTATTCAATGATTCAATAAAAAGCGTAGATAAAACACTTAACATTTACTTCCTCATATACAGGAAATGCTTACTAATAAATGATAGCTATTGTTTATAATCTCCTTGTTTTATACTGCACCTAGACCTAGATGGACCCCTTAAAAGTCTGGCCTTAATTTGACAATGGATCAAATCTTTAAGTGACTGTTGACACAGAAATTTCCCACTTCTGAAAATTTATCCCAGAGAAATAACTACCCAAGAGCTTCTTAAATACAATTTAAAAAGTTAAATGTTCATTAGAACAAATTAGTTTACCCAAACAGCAGAATATGTGAAAAAAAAAAAAAAAACCAACAGATATGTAAGTACTGACATAGATTTTTTTTTTTGACAGATGTTTAAAATATAATCCTGAGTAGAAAAAAAAATAAGAATAGCAAGCATAGAACGATCCCTTTTACATAAAAATACCTATATATGACTATACATGTTTAAGAAAATTTTAGAAAAATATACATCAAACTTCATAGTAATCTCTTCTGGCAATTAAGACTGAAGGGGAGAAAGGAAACTTTTGCTTAATACTAAACAGTATGAGAAATGAAGACCTACATGAAAGATATACACGTCCTACAGCTCATAAAACAATTCCTGTTTGTGAGCATATTTCTTAAATTATTATTTCCCCAAAGTATTTTCATATAGCTAGGAAAAATACAAGCCCACAATATAAAGATGTCTTGAATATGACAAAGAAATCTATTCTTTGTGAATTTTATATAGTTACTCAATTCCTGATATGCCTATTTAAGTGGCTGCAGAAGACTTTAGAATGAAGAATACCAAGAAGAACCTAGAATGCCAGCACTTATCTGCCTAAAAATTGTATCACATGCCATATTCAGATAGTGTCATACACACAAATGCTTAATAAATGCTATCCCAAATAAAACTCACTGAACAGCAAATATCTAGCCATATACATAAATACACTATGAAGATAGTTTGTGTGGCTTCTACTATTTCTGTACTTTCATATATGGGATTAGGTTTTGCTACTGAACATGCCTTTAAATTAAATGCATTCCAGCAGGGTGTGGTGGGGCACACACCTGTAATCCTAGCTCTTGGGAGGCTGAGACAGGAGGATTGTCACAAGTTCGAGGCCAGCCTGGACTACATAGAGAGTTCAGGGAGAGCCTGAACTACAAAGTAAGACCCTGTCTTAAAAACATTCAATGAGAATCAGAACATTCTGAGGTTTTCTTAGCGAAAATAGTGACACTCTTCAGTGATATCAGAAAGCCTTGTCTCTATGAGTTCTTTCCTAAAACTGAAACATTTTAAATATACTTCATTCCTCAGATGCAGATATAAGTCAGTAAGTAGAAAATTGAACACAAAACTGAAAATCACTTTTAAAATATAAGTTCAGGATACAAACAGAAGTCACACAGTAAGTCAGCACCTAAGTAACAGAAATGGTTATATCAAATACACTTACCATTGAAAGGATTGATTCCTGCACTTATTCGTGAAATAACAGCTTCTTTTACTTCTTTTTTCTTTACACATCGAATACCCAAATTTTGAAAACTAGAAGAAAAAAGAACACTTTCAAAACTGCATTAAAGCTGAATAAAAGGAGTACTACAAGATATCAAGCATATATCCAACACTGAGAAGTCATCACGCTGTTGGGGTACAAAAGCATGAGCTGTACTTCTAACTACTACAATGCAAGATGTAAGAGTAAAAAGCGGCATTACACTTCGTGAAGAACCGTTAAAAGGAAATAAATATTTCCTAATATATAAGGAAAATGATACAGTACATACAGTACTGTATCATTTTAATAATATTTTACAATTATATCTTACCAATATGCTTATGCCAAATATACCAGAGTAACAAGAAAGCAACATCAAAAAGTAAACAAACAAACTGATAATTAAATCATTAAAATCTGTGTACTTGGCCAGGTGTGGTGTGCATGTCTGTAATCCCAGCACTTGGGAGGCTGAGACAGGAGGATCGTTGTGAGTTCGAGGTCAGCCTGGGCTACAAAGTGAACTCAAGGCCAGCCTGAACTGCACAGCGAGACCCCGTCTCAAAACAGACCAATAAATAAATAAATAAAAAGAAAATCTGTGTACTTGATTATATGAAACAAAAAGTGTAAAAAGATGCTCACAGCCCAAAGTCCGTAGATACATTTCATGAAGCTTGTATGCTGCCTATGTTAAAAAAAGAAAAAACAAAATCTGTATAGATACCAAAACTTAAAAACCAACTAGTTGTATATTAATTTCTGGCTTCATAAACATTCTAGAAGTCCAGCAATACTAGGTTACGACAGAAACAACTAGCTGAGACTGAGCACCTGTAGCTGCATTGACAAGGGCTCTCAAGTCTGCTAGTGCCTGCTAAGTCCTTCCACACCTGATCCTCTGCACTCTCTGATGCTGCCTGCCTGACCCTCAGAGGTACGAGTTTTCAGCCCCAATTTCACAGACAAGAGCAAGGGAATATATTCTGTGACATATTACATGAAGTTATAAGATATACTGAAATGTGTTTTTATTAGAAAGAAGTTAAATACTAACAATATTTAACAAAAGTTTCAAGATATCACTTATGGAAAACTTCTCAGTAGCTACAAATATTACTAATTTGCATAGTGTAGTACAGAGGGTGGTGGGGGGAACTCCCCTACCACGACCAGTCACACTCGTTCCCACATGGAAAAACCATGACATCATTAAAGCTAGGTGGGCGTGAATAATGAAACAACTCAATTGTAATGACACTACTATTTGTTCAAACTTCACATGGCACTTGGCAACCAGGGGCTGCCTTGTTTACCTCCCTCCATGCTTGTGCTACCTATGCTCACACTGCACACTTAACCACACTGAGGGTTGTGTAGCACTTACAGTATCTTTGACAATACCACCTTCTTCCTCCAATAATTACAAAATAAATCATGAATTGAGAATTCTTTCTTGAAATCCTGAAACTACAATTCTCTTCCTCAAAGGTATTATACTTCTTTGAAAGATTCTTAGGTTCTTTTTCTTTGACAGAAGATTTTAAGAAATTTCTCCTTCTCATATATTTATATGCTGCTTTATTTTGTTTCACCTGAATAATCATACTTGACTGCCATTTACAGAAAGAGAAGTAACAAGAGATTTTTGAAATTCTGAGAGCTCAGCAGTAGAGCATTTGCCCAGCATGCACAAGGCCCTGGGTTTGATCCCCTAAGTGAGCACACACGTGCACACTCCCCAACCTAACTCAACCCAAACCAAACAAAATCCCACAAAAACCTGACCCAAGGAAACCAAGGATCACAGAGATTATCTGAATAAATTATTCATTCACATATTCATCACAGTCACTCAACACAGGTTGGAGCTCCTCCTATGTGCTAAGAATTCTGGAAAGTAATAGAGAGTATAAGACCCTTGCCCTCATGGAACTTGTAGTACGGTATACAGGAAACTACAACACATGGGCCAAATCTAGCCCAGTGCCTGTTTTTCTAAATAAACTTCATATTGGAATACAGTCTTACTCATTCATTTATGTATGATTTGTGGCTTTTTCATGCTGCAGTAGCAGAATCCAGTAGTTGCAACAAAAACTGTAATGCCTACACAGCCTAAAATCCTTACAATCCAGCATTTTACAGAAGAAGTCTAGTAACCCCTACCCTGGTGAGTCAGACAGCTATTAAATAATCACAAACTGAAATTACGACAATTTTATGGAGGAAATACGTATGTTTAGAGGAGTCAGGCCAGGGATATAGCTCAGGGGCACAAGCGCCTGCCTGGCAAGCGCAAGATCTTGAGTTTGATTCCCGGTACCAAACCAAAAAAAAAAAAAGGGCTGGGGATATAGCTCAGTGGCATAAGCGCCTGCCTAGAGGAGCCTATGATGGAAGACAATTGATAAATTCAGGGCAGAAAGGGAGTGATACTTAATAACAAATGGAATGGAAGTTGTGTGGAAAGGAACAGACCATGCGAAGGTCCCTAAAAAGAGCACTGTGAGCGCTACACATTAAGAGGTTTTTGTGAGTGGTACGGAGAGGTCACAGGATGCACAGCAGAACCGAAGCCCAGCAATACAGTGGGTGTGTAGGCCATAGAAGGAACACTGTCCTTATTATGAGAGACAAAGCAATTAAAATGTCTTACGCAATTTGGTTTGTATTTTAAAAGATCACTACCTAAAGTGAAGGGAGACTAAAGGGAAGAGGCATTTTAAAACGCTGACGAAAGACCACCATGCAGAAAGTTATTACAGGAGCCCAAATTTAGCATACAGAGATGTGGAGATAGACCTCACTGCATGACAACACGGATGGATTCAAGAGCTGTGCAGGAGGTACGTGCTAGTCGAGTCACACCGGTGTGAGCGGTGTGGGGATACCACCTATGTTTGGGGCTTTTAAAGCAACCATTAAGACAAGGCCCTTTAGAAGATGAATTTTGAAGAGAAAGAGCTATGATTATGCCAAGATCACGGTTTGGGGCATATTTTTTCAAGGTGCTTTTGAGACATTTAAGAGAAAATTAACAGAAAGCAATTGGATTAAATATCATTCCCCCCAAAAAAGAACAAAGATCCCTGGAAGAAACTGATGACTGAAGGGCTGGAGCACAAAAAGTACAACTCTTGAAAAGTGTTACACTGGCAAGTAAAGAGGTGCTTGAAGAAGGACGAGAACATACCAAAAGGATGCAGCAGACAGACGGGGGTTTGTACTGGCCAAGGCTGGGTCAATCTGAAGTCAAAATAACAGCGCTAATGGGCTATCGTACACTGAAGAGGACTCATAAATTCAGTGATAATTTTTAAATAGGAAAAGGAAAGTTCTTTGTTAACAGAATGCCAATTAGTAACACTACCAATGGAAAAAAAAGGTTATGACATATCTCCTAAAGGGATTTTTATTTTTAAAAGGTTATGACATATCTCCTAAAGGGACAATAATGCATCACCTCCATAGACTTCTTGCCAAGGTGTTGCATGAAACACGTTAATATAAAAATATTATTCATGTTAAACATAGTGCTAAACATAATGCATGGGATCCTGGATTGAGGGTAAAGCTAGGACAACCATAAAGGTCATTATTGGGCCAGGCGTGGTGGGGCATTCCTGTAATCCCAGCACTTGGAAGGTTGAGGCAGGAGGATCACCATGAGTTCAAGGCCATCTGGACTACATATACACACCCAGACCCTGTCTTAACGTTCCCCAAAGTCATTATTGGGACAATAACTGAGATAATCCAAAATGTTAACTGCTAGAAAAGTAGGAAGCAAAACAAGTTTGTTCTCTTAGAAATCAAAAAAGATTTCTTTCTAATGTACTTTAAAATTATTTTATTAAAATTAACATATATTACTTATATGAATTAAGGGGAGCCATTGTGATGTTTTCACACATGCCTGTCTCATGCATTGAACATCATCCATCCATTCTTTTTCTACTCTCTCTCCTTCTACCAAAAATATTTCAAAGCGGGAGTACCTATCAGTTAAAATGTTATTAGAACTTCAACCAACAGAGACAGAAAGTAGTTTTTGCTATGTATATAACTAGATATTTTATATTTTGTGTTATCATTAAAGAACATTTTTAAAGTGTTTTATCTAAATGGTTATTCCTAATACATAAGGAAAATTACTAACCCTTTTTCTGTTGTAATTAGTTTCACTTTTCCCCAAGAATCATAGATGCTCATTATAAAAGTGAATTATAAAGTAAGTTAAAACACACAGCCAGGTGCGGTGGCACACACTCATGATCCTAGTACCTAGAAGAGTGAAGCAGGAAGATTACAAATGTAAACCCAGCCTGGACAACTAAATGAGAAGTAAACGTCACACGTCTTCCCCCTCTGGTGGCTAGGCCGGGACAGGGTCATGGAGAAGGTCACGCCCAGGGTGTGCAAGATGAGGACACACATCCCCACTGTGCAAGCGCACGGTTATTCTCATCAAACCACACCTTCTCTTTCTCACAGCAGCCTGTTTTCCACATGGAGGTTGTGCTGCTCGGCCCACAGCTGTGGGAGTTCTCCATGCAGTAAAAAATGGCTGGGGATGCAGTTCAATGCAAAGACTACCGGTTCAAGCCCCAGGACCTCAATAAATAAATAGTAAAAATATAAAACCTCACACATTACCTACCCAAAGACAACACCCATTAATGTCTTACTATACATACTACTATGTATATGTAGTATATATTATCATATGTCTATAAATTCACTTTTAACAAAAATAAGATTACTCTTTTAATCTTGTTTTAAAACCTATTATATTTATCTGACACATACCAACAGACACTTGCAATGCTGCTTTTATAACTACATAGAAGTACAATATAGGATGTACCAGTTTATTTAACCAGTCTCCTTTGTTTAGTATTTAGATTGCTTCTAACTTTTTGCCATCACAAACAAAAGTGCACTGAACATTATTATAGTTAAAGGTTTGAACATTCTTGATTATTTTCTGAGGAAAAACACCTAGAGGTGGAATTGCTGGTTTAAGGTACATTCCTATTTTTCAGGGTGTTGGTATATAAATTGCCTATCAAAAAAAAAATTTTTTTTTTTTTTTTGTCTTTTTGAGACAAGGTTTCACTGTGCAGTTCAGGCTGGTCTAGAACTCACTTTGTAGCCCAGGCAGTCCTTGAACTCATAGCAATCCTCCTGCCTCGGCCTCCCGGGTGCTGGGATTCTAAGGGTGCACCAGGCCTGGTCCAAAACGATTTTATTAATTTAAATTCTCATTACTATAATGAATAGGTCCATCTCTGGTAGCCTCATCAACATGAAAATGACTTTTTTTCTGTGGTACTGGGGATTGAGTCAAGGCCTTTACACTAAGTACCCCCTTTGCACTAAGTACCCCCACATGTACTTTTAGAAATTTTTTAATTTTATAGAATTTTTTTTTTTTTTTTTTTTTAGATAGGGTGTCACTGTGTAGTTCAGCCTCACCTTAAACTCACTATCTAACCCAGGCTGGCCTCAAACTCATAGCAATTCTCCTGCTCAGCCTCCCAAGTGCAGGGAAGAAGTTTTTCAATTTTATAATAAGGTCTTGTTAAATCGCTGAGTTGCCCAAGGCTGTGTGTAAATTGGCAATCCTCCTGCCCCACCCTCCCAGAGAGCTGGGATTATAGACATGCACTACTCTGCACAGCTGGTTTTGCTTTTGTTTTTGTTTTTTAATCTTAGAACATATGATGTTAATTTTATAATCTGCCCCTTTCTTAATAAATTCTAGAGTTTTCCAGTTGATTTTCTCACTTCAGCAATTTTTAATTTAAACATAATGAACAGATGGAGTAAAAATTTTTCATGAATTGTTCGAGCTGAAGGGCCGGGGATACAGCTCAGCAGCACAAGCGCCTGCCTGGCAAGCGCAAGGTCCTGAGTTTGACTCCTGGTTCCAAAAAAAGAAGTAAGAATTGTTCAAGCTGAGAAAAAAACACATAGCATAAAATAAATTTTTTACTCTCAGTAATAATAAAGAAGTATTCCTACCCACCATGTGCTGTGTCTACTGATGAAGAATGAAAGCACAGCTCTAACGTGAACAGTATGGATGTTCTGCTAAAAAGTAAAAGATGGCCATGGATAGGAAACAGCGTGCAGGGCTTACCCTGTTCCCACAGATGTGTACGACTGTATACTTACAACAAAGGTCTCCGTTCTTGTCCAAAATCAGCTTCATAGTAGCCATCTCTGCAGTCTTTTCCAACTAAGTCATGAGGGTGCGGTTTATATGGGTCATTCTTTGTAACTAATGTAATTCTCACTTTTCCTTTTCCATAATAGTTCATAATCTGAAAAAGGAGTAGTTAAATACACAATCCATAAATACACCCATTAATAACTAATCTACTAAATTAGAGTTCAATTTCTATGACATAGCACTGGATTAAAAAAAAGTTCAATTGGCCAGTAAGTGCATTTGAGATGAAGCTTTCCAGAGAACACCAGCAGGGAAAAACTTACCTGTCAGCACCTGGACATTTAATTTTCTACTCTAATTTCAACTGGTCATATCACTGGACTCTACTTATTTTCCTTCTAAAACAAGTAAAACTATACTACAAGTTTCATTGCAGAACATAAGGAAATACTTAAGTGTTACGCAGCTAAGTACCTTGCTCTTAGATGTACTGTCATACCATAAACATTCCTTGAAAATACATGCCCTTGGGGCTGGGGATTTAGCTCAGCGGCAAAAGCGCCTGCCTGGCAAGCGCAAGGTCATGAGTTCGGTTCCCGGTACCGGAGAAAACCCCCCCCAAAAAAATAAATTAAAAAAAAAATACATGCACTTAAGCCACACTGATAATGACAGTATGCAAATATGATTGCGTTACTAAATACATTGTATTTCACAAAAATATGTGCTAATCAACAGGCATATAAAGTATTCACTGTACATTAAGCAATAAAGCAAGTTGAATTTTACAAGATTGAGGTTCACACAGAAAGTACCTCTAGAACACTCACCCTAAACAGGCAGTAGACACTTAGAGATGGAGAAGAACTAATGTTCCTTGCTGAAGCTGGCAAATTTGACAGAACAAGCAAGAAATATAAAAACCAGCATAATACAAAGGGATGGAGGTAGTTAAACAAGAATAGGCAGCTTTCCGGTACAGGGCACTAAAATTCATAATTCTAAATTTAGACAGAATGTGAACAGTAACCAGGAAGTCTTTGTGTCTTTCTGAATGAAAGAGAAGGTAACCACTGAAGACTGTAAGAAAGGCTGATTTAGACACAACTCAAGCCACACAGTGTATGCAGGACCTGCTGGAATGCTAAGAACACAGACCTTAGAAATATTTTAAAGTTAGTCACGTAGTAGTAGTAGTTATGTAGTAGTAATGTAGTAGTAGTTTTGTAGTAGTAGTAGTAGTTATGACTCAAAGGATTAGAAGAACAAAATTTTAAAATTTCCTTTTTATTACACATTACTCATTTTAACACTTAAAAAGATTTACATGAATCAAGTCCATACTACTGCCAAAAAATGTTACTCAAAAATAGAAATTTGATTTGGGCGTGGTGGTACATGCCTGTAATCCTAGCACTCAGGAGGCTGAGGCAGGAGGATCGCTGTGAGTTTGAGACAGCCTGGGCTACATAGTGAGTTCAAGACCACTGAACTACATAGCAAGAGCCTGCCTCAAAAACAAAACAAAACAAAAACAAATTTGGTCATTAGATGAGAGCAAAAACTCTGATGTACTACTGCACAGTATTATGATCATAGATAACAATAATGTACTACATATTTCAAAAAGCTAGAAAAAAGGACTTTGTTTTCTGCATGAAAGAAATTATGTTTTTGGAAATAAGTTAAACACCACATTACTTTATTCAATTATGTATAATTTTTATGTTTTATGTATCAGTTAAAAATACAATAAAATAAAAATAGGAATTTGTTATTTAATACATAATTTTGTCTTAAATTGTAATTTAGCAAGTCTCTAAATCCAATAATGTACTTTGTAAATAATCTAGTTTTAAAATAGTGAATTAAGCACTATTGGTAAAAGAAGATATATACCATTTTTCAAAATCTTCTTTGTTGGGCCTGGGGATTTAGCTCAGTGGCACAGCGCCTGCCTGGCAAGCGCAAGGTCGTGAGTTCAATTTCCGGTACTGGGGAAAAAAAGAAAAAAAGAAAAAAAAAAAAGAGTGGAAAATTCCTCTTTGTTATTAAGCTTTTGTTTGTTCTGGTTTTTTGAGGAGGTAGCATCTTACTATTTTGCCCAGGCTGGTCTCAAATTTCTGGACTCAAGTGACCCTCAGTCTCCCAAATAGCTGGGGACTGCAGCAGGCACACACAACTGCACTTGTCCTAGTATTAAATTTTTAAACTGGCATTTAAAGGATAAAAAAGGCAAATAACATACAGCTTATAAATATAAATTTAGTATATCTTATATTTACTAAAACACCTCTAATCGAAAACTCCTTTCAAAATTTGTTAACATGAAAAAGTTAAATTTAAAGTTATAATATCTTAAATGATGTCAATGATCCCGAGGATATGCAATAGGCATTAAAGATAAGGAAAAGTCTTCTTCTCCACAGGCCCTAGACTAAGAAATTGCAGGAAGAACTTCTGATGAAGTTCTCAAATCCATGTTTTAATCCAGGCAATAATCTCCATTACCTCTGTATGTAAGAATGTCTTTTCCTCATTAAATGTTTTGTGTTCCATGAAAGGAATAATGAGCTAAAAACTGCCAATATATACTAAGTACTGCAAATCACTGAACTTACATTAATACGCAAACATATAATTATAGCAAGGAAGAGTCTGTATTATATTAAGAAATGATCCTGCACACCTAGCTAACACAGATAAACTAAAAAGAAAAAAAAAGAAAAGAAAAAGACTACAGGGATGACTGTGAAGAAACTGAGCTTAATACGACTGCTATAGCTAAAATCTGAAGCAACTAAAGGTGAGACTGACACAGGCGAGGCGTCTATTACCTGGATAGACGGGTATGTTCTGTTGTCCTCTGTGCTGTGCTCCCCTGGAATGCTGCCTGCTGATCGCCCTTCACATTTGTATCTAAAACGCATTCCCCTCTGCCTGGGCTGTTCGACTATCTCTACATACGGGGTATATCCACCTGAAAGTTTAAAAGGAAAGGGAATATAATTGAGTTTAATACTTTTAAATAAAAGAACTTTAAAGTCTGGAATGATTTTAGACTTCTAGAAAAATTGACATGACAATTTAGATAGTGTGTTTATGGAGTAAGTATACTGACAAAAGAATGGAAAAGCAATTGTTGAAAAGATTAAGTGAAATGTTTAAAAAAGATTTTTAAAATAGCAAAAATAAGATAAATATTAGTTGTCATATTATATATCATGTACTTTAAAATCCTTGAAACACTTTTCCTCTTGCAGAAGCTCTTAACTGGTAAAAAAACCTCACTAACGACTCTGTAACAGAATTTACTATTGTAATACACATTCCTCCAGCGGGAAGTAACCTCCTTTCCATTTATTTGTGTTTACAGCAACTATTTCAGGTAACTTTAACTTAGGAAAGACCCGTCATTATATTTGTGCAAGGTACCTGAAGGCACAGATTGTGCTATTCATCAGTGACTTCTATACACAAAGTAAATAACTGCATTCGGTGAATGATTAAAAACCTAAAGATCTTTTGTTTGTGATTTATTCAGAAATTAAAGAACTATATTAATGATTAATTGGCTCTTTACTGGATTCTAGTATGACAGAAAAAATTGTGCTCTATAGGGACTAGAATCACTACACTTTCATACTTCTTTATAACCCTTCATATCTGATTTCTTTATCTGTATCTGTTATCTTAAAAAACCTCCTAGCTATAAATCATTTACTTTATGTATCAGTATACAACACCAGTTACTTCCTTCCTTTGTACTGTTTTGTAGTTCCCTTCTGCCTGAAAACAAAAAGTGCTGAAATGTACTCATCTATGCGGAAAAGGTAAAATACAAGCCAGGGAACTGTGAGGAAAAGGAATACCCAACTAGTATTACTGACAGTCACTACAGTTTTGAAAAGCACTGAGACATCTTCAAAACTGGTTCTACATAATTTGATTGTTGTAGTTTTCTTTAACCAATACTTTGCATAGCTAGGACGGATCTGTATATTTTAACAGTATTTTAAAAATGCTACAGGCCAGAATAACATTTGAAACATAGCCAAGATGCATGCAGATATATTTATGATTTTATTTGCACCTAGGCAAAAACAGTGCTTTTTAAAACATTCTGCTTCTCAGATAAAGTATGAATTTTTAAGATAAAAAAAGTATAAAATGGATCAACCAATAGAAACAGACACATTCATTAAAATCTTATCCTTAGAATTAGGAACCAGCATTAAGTGTACAATGAAAAAATGTTAATTACATATAGTAATTATTTTTATTTTTTCAAAAAATTTTTGAGACAGAATCTTGCTATGGCTGCCCTTGAACTCACTATGTAGCCCAGGCTGGCCTCAAATTCAGTGATCCTCCTGCCTCAGCCTTCCAAGTGCTGGGATTACAGGTGTGTGTCATCACACCAGGCACATATAGTAATTACTAAATAGTTTTAAAGCACTTATATCTATTTCTCATTTGATCCTCTTAACTTTAATCTTAATAAAAACAGAACAGAAATTATCATCACATTTTACAGATGATAAAATTATAGTTCAAAATTATATGAAGTATTGAAAAAAAGAAATCACAAATGACATAAGTGGTTATGACAGCTGCGATTTCAGGGTGTCAAATTTAAAAAACAAGCGTAAAAGCAGCTAGGGCTAAAATCCTAACAGCTGATACAAGACATAACCTGCAAAATAAAATAAAAGCAACGTAGTTTAACACAATAGTGCATCTTGATATAGGTAACTGAATATTTACATCTAGTGAAATCCCTACACAAAAAAGACATACATCACAACCATTTTTTAGCTTTTCCAAGTCACAGAACACGTTCTGACCTCATCTAAGATCTGAAGAGACATGGAACTCAAGCATAAAGCCCAGACACACGTTTCTGAAAGTCATCCGAGTTAGTCTAAACACTGCTGATAAAGAGCCACTGTCCTAAAACATGGAAAAGTGGAAAAAATGATGCCTATATCTGGACAAAGTTCAGGTCCAAGTATAAACTGGGCCATGGATAAAACAGGCAAAGCAATTCTGACTAGTTGTAACTTCTTTTTCTCTATCACTCAAAAAAGCTTATTTGAATGCAGGCAAGGAAAAATAAAAATGTTGGGATGCCCTTCAATTGATATAATTTATTTTAAAAACAAGTCATTTACAGAACAAACCTTTTAACTACTGTCAGTAATGTATTGCTTACCATACAGCACATGAATGATGGCCATGCCAAGGTGTCAAAACATCACAGTTGAAAAAACAAACAAACAAACAAACAAACATCCATAGCAACTGAGAATAGCTAACCAGAGTGCATCTCTCCTACAGAGGTGCTGAGTGATACATTTTGCCTGAGACTGGAAGGAGCAAAGGAAGCTAACAATACAAACTTTTCCAAAAACTATCCCTCTGTCACTTTGGAGAAAAAGAAAATAAGATCTATTCCTTTTTATTCTAACCAGGTCTATCAAAGTTTATTAGATACATTTCAACAGGCTGACTTTCAACTAAGTGGGCAGTAAGAATCCAAGAAATGGAATTTTCAGATGAATATTCAACTGATATATGCTGCATAAAGTACATAAAAAAATTTAAAATGTTTTGGAAACTCAGATTCCACTGCTATGGGGTCAGGAGAAAATCAAGTCTTAAAAAAGGTTTTTATGGGTTAGCATGAAAAAGCCAAGAAATATTTAAAATCTGTCCTAGATTATATAGATATTTAAATGAAAAATACATGTCAAGGCCAAATTATCTCCATTCAGATGGCCAGACTTAGAAATAAAATTACAGGAGGCTCAGTTAAATATGAATTTGAAATAAACTTTTCTTTAAGTGTAAGACATTCTATGACTATTAGAGCCATGTACCTACAACACAATCACGTGCAGAGAACACAGATGGGCGAGAGCTGAAACAAACGAAAACTCTAAGCACCTTAAATTGTATTTGAGAAAAACGCTAAACATGCTGTAAATGCTCCAATTTATGATTCAACATCTGACTCCCCCAGTCATTTCAGTCATTCTATTAATTTTTCACACGACTGTTAACTTTTTGATATCTAACATTTTTGAAATCAATTCATATATGTATGCAGTCTTACTCTTAAAAAAAAGAAGTTGTCTCTTTAGTTATCCATGCCTAACTTCCAGCTCTATTATTAGAGTAAAATGCGTCACGCTTACATACATTTTTTCCTCTTTCTCAAGAGAAAAAAACAATGGTTCTCTTTAAATTCACACCACAAAGAGCTGGGAAGCAATGTGGTTTACAAAACAGTTTATGTACTTCTCATTAGTGACAGAGCAAAATAATACTAAAAAAAGTGAGTAAAAATAAATTTAAAAACATATTTCATTTAAGACTGTTATTGGGAACCACAGCTGCGTGCCATATAAGGATAATATGCTCTTTTTACTAAACAACAAGAAGTTTTAAATTCAGCCATTAAACATCTTAACATTAAATAGGATAAAACCATAAATTATACAAAAGTAATGACTTTCATCCTTGAGTTCCACAGGGGCCTGGAAATATTTTACATCATTGTGCCTATCTATAGTCAAGGTATAGTATTTTTTTTTTAAAGGCAATGAAAAACTGTTTAGTAGCTGGGCTGTTGAATCTTAAGTCCTAAATAATCTCCTAATTTACCTGAGCAAATCTAGAATCATTATATGAAGTCTCTATTTCCACTGGGCTGATAAATGTTTGCTTACGAGATGATGATCTCCGTTACTTTTACCTGACAGGCATTACTTATTTAACGACACATACCTATTTTCACATGACATCCGGAGAGAAATGAAACAGTCTGAAATGCTTAGTAATCAACAAAAATAGTCTTTGAAATTTTAATACTACCATTAGGTGTACCCAGATTCACTTTTTTGGCCTACCGGTTTTAAATAACTGAATTACAATTTAAATAATTTGCTATATTTTAAATAGCCCCATTTAATGGAAAACGAGAAAAAAAAAAAAAAAACCCAAAAAACCAACAAAAATAATCATCACCCTACAACTTCCAGATCTTTAAAACTTTCCATTTATCTTTCCCTTCATTTAGGGAATCAGTCTTCTTAACAGAACAAAATACAGTGTCACTAAACAGGTTTAAATTGTATCACAATTTTACCATGTGGGTCTGTACAGTACTCTATACAGAAATAATTTTTTTCTCTTAAAAAATTGTAAGTATTACATTCATGCAATATAGTAATAAAGAACTAGTTAAACCTCCAAAGGCAGATCTTGTTTTACCCCTAATGTGTGACAAACAGTAACCAAATAAGTTACGTTCATATTTTTAATCTAAACGTGCGCTGAATTTATGAATTTACAAGATAATCTGAAAGTCGGGAGTTATGTAGATGGGCACAGGGAAAGTTAAAACATTTTAAACTATATTTGTTTTCTCACATGAAAACCACAGGCAAAATGAAATCAAATGTCATGTGAAACACCGATTTCCTTTCCAGCCTACAGCAGCAGCGCTGGCACTGCTCTGCTCAACCCTTTAAAGAGGTTCTTTCTGCGTGCTACTTCCTCTTCCCTACCGAACATCAACCTGCCACCGGTGCTCGCTCCGGAGGCCGTGGGGAGGGTGCGGGTCAAGCATAAACAAGCCCCCTTTCAGCCTCTCAGTACAAGCTTAATGCATAGTTAGAGCTCCCCATCACCTCGCCAGACCCAATCTGATTCAGCCGCCCAGGCTACAGGCAGCCCCGGCCAGGCTGTCTACACGAGACTTTAGCTCTGCGAACCTGTTTCCCCGCAAAGCACGAGATCAAGTATTAGCAACAGAAAAGAAGTATCTGAATTAAATGATGAAGTTGTTTTTATTCCTACCCATTATTTTAAAGCACAGATCGCCTAAAAATCTTTCTCCTTTACTGCTAACAAGAAAAGAAAATTCGACGTCTCTCCTTGGTAAACTGGAAAAGCGTGCGCTTTAGTCCCACAGTAAGAAGTATCCGCTGCGTTTCCACTGAACACCCGTTAAAACATCACTGAGGACTTCTGCAGTTGAGCCACATTTTGTGCAACTGTCAGCACAAAAGCGATCACCTACTGGCCCCGGATGAAATTCAAGTTTTAAAAAGGTGAGAGCTTGTCCCAGGCCGGAAGGTTCCTCATTCTTGTCCCAAAATATGAAACCACCGTTTCTGTACAGCTCCGTCTGTAAGTACGAGGACGCTTGGTTCTCTTTCATTTAGATTATCCCTGCACTACGCCTAACCATCAGGTGGCCGGGAATTGCTGAAGTTCCAGCTATCAAACCGGATCAGATTACAGAGCGCGGCTCTGATTTCGCACGCGAGCCCTGCCGCAGGTAAACTTTACAAAAGGCGGACGCCTCGCCAACGCGGCGATCTGAAAGCACGAACGCCGCAACCCCGAACAGAGCCCCCGAAACTCGGCAGCGAGCCCTCAGGGCAGGGCCCCCGGCCCCGGCCGGCGCCCGCGGGACTCACCCGAGGCCATGGTGATCTCTCCGCGCCGCCCGCAGCTCCCACTGGGGCGCGAGGCCGCCGTCCGTCCGTCAGCCGTCAGTCGGGAGGGCCTCTGCCGGCGGGACCCCTCGGCCTCCAGACCAGCCCCGAAGCCTCCTCCTCCTTCCCGCCCTCCTCGGGCTCTGCGGCTCGCACCTTCCCACCCCCTGACTTCTCGCGTTTCGGGTCACCG